AGATAACCCTCAACTTAGGACTGCAAATGAGCCCAACGTTTCTGTTGCTGAGACACTGCTGAGTTTTGCCCCATTTTATGATCTTTCCTGCCACCGTTGTTAAGCGAATCACTGCAGTAGTTAACTTGGCCACCCCGTCGTTAAGTGAACCTGGCTTCCCCCTTTTCAGAAGGTCACAAAGGGGGACCATAGGATCCCAGGATTCTACAACCATCCTAAATACGAATCAAGTTGCCAAGCACCCGAATTTTTATCACGTGACCACGGGGAGGCTACAATGGTCGGAAGTGTGAAAAGGGGTCATAAGTCATCCTTGTCAGTGCCACTGTAACTCTGAATGGTCATTAAGGGAACTGTTGTGAGTCAAGGACTCCTAGTGAGGATGCCTCTGTATCAACCCAGAAACAGGAAGTGGAAGGAAAACAGAGAGAGAGAGAAAGAACACAAAAGAAATAACTCTGCAAAATATAAATTATTTTTGCACGTCCATGGGCAAAACATACTTTCTCTCCAAAACATTAATCATCAATTGCAGCCTGTTAATTTAAAAATTCCTGCGGGATTCCCATCATTTCTACTCCCTGGCTGGGTATGGGGGGGGATGTAGCCTTCGTGATCCTATAGAAGTTGGGGTGGATTTTAACCTCTAGTGTCTGGGACAACCCCTTTCCTCCAGTGGGACCGCCAGGCACCTACCTGGGGGTCCCAAGCTTCTACATTGGGAGGATGGGAGAGAGAAAGACAACGAGAGAGTGGGAGAATAAGAAACAGAATGAGGGAGGGAGAGAGAGAGAGAGAGAGAGATGAGCAATGACAGAATGAGAAAGAGAAAGGGAGAATGAGGGAAAGAGACAGCAAGAGAGAGGAAGAGAGAGTCAGACAATGAGAGAGAAAGATAAAGGGAGAATGAGAGAGAGAGAGAAAGGAGAAAGGGAAAACAAGACAGAATCAGAGAGAGAAAGAGAGGATGGGAGAGAGAGGATAAAAGAGAATGAGTGGGAGAAAGAGAGACTATGAAAGAAAAAGAACAGAAAGAAGCAGAGAGAATGAGAGAGGGAGAAGAAGAAGCAGGAGGAGAGAGAATGAAAGAGAAAATGTGAGAATGAAAGAGAGGATGAGAGAGAATAAGAGAAAGGGGTGAGACGAAGCAAGAGAGAAGATACGATAGAACGAGGGAGAAAGAGAGGGAGAATAAGAGACAGAGAGAAGAGAAAATGGATGAAAGAGAGTGAGGAGAGAGACCGGGACACTAAAGCGGAGATAAGGCCAAAACGAAGTGACTCCGGATGCCTCCTGTCCCTCCTTAAACGGATGGAAAGAGAAGGGCGGCAGGTGAGAGGGTGACAAAGGGCGAAGTAACCTATAAAACTGGAGCGCCTCTAGGAGCTGGCAGGGGGGCGGCCATCTCTAAATCCGAATCAAAAAGCCTTCGCATTTCTTTCTAAGGTCCGCGCGCGGCGTGTCAGCCCTGAGCCGTTTTTACGCTCCCTAAGCAGGGACTAGAAGTCCCCGTTTCTTAGGAATTGCCCCAAACTCACCCAGGCGGCTTTCATGCCTCAGGTGGGACCAGAACTCACCTTCTACTCTCTTTCTAGCCCGGAGCCTTAACCACTAGACTGAACGGTGTTGTTCTTTGTTCATCTACGAGCAAATTTGGAGCGGATAACAACACACACAGACAAGCACGCCTCAGCCACAGGTCCCAAGCAACGGGTATTTGCGCTACATTTTTGGCACCTGGAGTTCCTTAAGCAGTTGGTAGTCCTGTTTAAAAACAAAAACACATTTTTCCCGCCCCTGAAGCTGCCGTTTTGCGTGCAGATTTTCGCAGATTCACAAAACCGGGCGACAAACCCCGGATTTTTAAATCGCCTCGCGCTGCTTAGGCGCTTTGAAAGCTCCCAGATTTGCTGACGTTCGTTCCAGCAAGATGCGTTTAAACCGAATTAGGTCTCCAACGATTCGGTTTAACGAGGCCTGGTACGGATCCTTTCCACGGCAAGCAGCTTTTTTTAAAAGTGCAAAAATTTAATAACGAATTTTAAAACCTGAGTTCCCACGAAGGTGAAATTTAATATATTTAAATCCCCTTTAAGCTTAATTTTATACATATATAGAGAGAGATCCTGATGGGAATGGTCTCCGTGAAGAATGCATGTATGCAATTACTTTTTAATTGCATACACGCATCCTTCGTGGAGAGAATTCTCATCAGGGTCTAGATAACTGAAATCGTATACTTGAACTATCATTCGTAGGTCTCTCATCCCTAAAGGTGTTTGAAAACCTATAGGTATCATAACTGGGGCACTATCAAAGAATCCAGAACGAAGGCGCTTCGCCCTTTCGGGCACCTTTGGCATCCGACTCGCGTTTATTGCAATGTAACGCGTGAATGCCTTTTATATTGCTTTGATTGCAGCGAAATGTGTGAATGCCTTATATGTGTGTGTGTGTGCGTGTATGCCGCCCGGAATCACCCAGAGCGAATGGGGTGGGGTGGGGTGTCATATGTATTTTCTTAAATAAAATTAAAAACAGCAACCGACGATGGGTTGAGGTGAAATATTAATTGGTCCGGATAGGATAGCAAGGCAGACTTCAATATAATGCATTTTTTTAAAAAACAAAATTTTTTAAAAAAACTTGGCTTCTTTCACAGGTGCACACTTTAATTCCCGAAATTTAGCCTGGGCAGTTCTGGGAGTTGAAACCCACATCTCTTAAAGTGGCCCAAATTGAGGGGGAAAATTGACATAACGCCAGCCTAAACATGGTAACGATACCATGGTAACGATTAAAAAAAAAAAAAGGAAGCAGGTGAATTTGATAGAGACTTTTATCAAGTGGATGAGCTCTGCCCAGACTGTACCATTCACACCGCTGGGCAGGGGGAGGGCGAGGGAATTTAGAAATTCTTTCGTGACTTCGAGAGGCGATTTGCCCACCTGCAAAAAGTACCTCCCCCGCCCCACGTTCTTCCCGCCTCCTTTTCTTCCTCCTCCCTCAACACCCCCCGCCCCCCCGCCAAAGCGGTCCAGCCCAGACAAGCTACGTTATTTGCCTCTAGTTCTCTAGCCTCGTTACATCTGTAAAGCTTCTTAAAGCAGCACCTGGGGGACGGGGGGGGGGGGGGCAAGGACACACGTGTTTGCGGATTTTCACGATCTCTGACCTTGGGAAGCGGGACCCAGCTTTTGGGGGGGACGAGATTGGCAAGAGGGCGCGGGGGTGGGGAAGAGACTCCGCCGCCAGGCTGCAGAGAGCTCGCCTCGTTTTTCTCATCTCATCTCTCTGAAGTCTGTAATTACCGCCGACCGGCCGATTTGCTGCAACTTGCCCGCCCCGACAGCCTGCCAGCCCCCCCCCCCCCCCCCCCCCCCCCCCCCCCC